GATAATCTGAAGGTGAAATAAATAAGGAAATAAAAACTGAGCGGAATACAGAAACAATTTGCAGAGAATTAATCGATCAGAAAATTAACGCAAGAGTACAGAGAGACCCCCAATCTTGATAGTCAATGAGACTTATCAGGGATGAATGCAGCTTCCACACACAACAAAGTCTGTATAGTAGGCTATTCTTTTAACCTTGGCCAAATAGATTGACTGACCTCCACGGGTAACTCCAGAATCAGAGGATTTTTTCGAACGATCCGTAGACTGCTCTCAAGTCAACATATAACCGAACCCACCCGGGGTAATATATTGACGAAGGTCTTGTCAACAGAAACCTCATTAGCAATGTCGAGGTAGGGAACGAACTTGCAAAACAAAGGATCACAAGAAATTAGATTCTGTTAGATTTTCAGGGCAAGATGTAAGGAAAATTCCACTAAAGTACCAGATTTCAGAAGGGCAAACTTTGGACAGTTTAAAGAGGCAACTGAGAGAAGGTACGCGCTTTGGGCGTGAACCTGGACAGATGACACTGACCTGATAACGAGATCTGAGATAGCCGAAGTCTCCACGGCACTTCAAAATAATGAGCATGAATGTACAAAGGCAGGAAATATACCATACAAAAACTCGGATCAGACAACAATGACCAAATGGATAAGCAATTATTTAAAGAACATCACACAAAGGAAGGCTATAGGTGTATGATAAATCGCGGCAAAATTTACCTCCAGGATTATTATTATGGGTATTGGCGAGTAGGGTTAAAACCGAGATAAGGAAAGTCAAGAGGAATAATGAGGTAAGGATAGCAAGGAGGCGAAGACAAACCCCAAAGATTCTAAATGTAAATGCATCAAACTAAAACACGAGAAACGACATTCAATACGGTCAGGAGTCCACCGGCGAAGCCCACTGATACCACGGAGAAATGAGCAATAATTTGAATAAATATTTTTCTAAACAGTTTCACAACCGAAAATGTAAACATGATACCCGAGGCACCGACTCTATTCAGAGATAGTGAAGAAACAATGCTGGGAGATAGTGGGTGACTAGTAGTTTATATTAGTAAGCAAATAGATAAATTAAAGCCTAATAAGTCACCTGGTCCCGATGAGATATTTGCCAGAGTATTAAAGCAACAAAAGGAAGAGCTTAGGGGGTATGTCCTAGCAAAGTTGTTTAACATGTCTCTAAATACAGGTGTAGTACCAGAACTCTGGAGGATAGCGAATGTAATACTGATTTCAAGAAGGAATAGATCACAACTTAACTACTGCCCAATCAGCCTAACATCAATAGTAGGCAATTACTCGAATCAATCATTTCAAACTTGTTCGAAACCACCTGGAGAAACACAAGTTGATCAATGATTCCCAGTATGGCTTCACAAGCGGGCGTTCGTGTCTAACTAATCTATCAATATTCTTTCATCGTTTCGAATCGGTGGATTTAAGGCAATTATGATGGGTATATCTCGACTTTTATAAAGTCTTCGACAGAGTCCCCCACGAAAGACTAATAAGAAAGGTAGCCATGGCATCAAAGGTAATATCCTTAAAATGGATTAGGGCGTGGTTATGGGACAGGAAACAGCGAGGAGCATTAACGGCACTAAGTCCCATTGGAGCAACGTCACTAGTGGAGTTCCCCAGGCTCAGTACTTGGACCATTATTATTTATTATATACATAAACGACATAGATATTTAGGGACATAGATGAAAGCAACATAAGCAATTCTGTTGATGACACTAAAATAGACGTGTTATTAAATCTGACGAGGACTCGCAAAAGCAATAGGAAGATCTAAACAAAATTCTTCGAATGGTCTGAAATACAGATGAAATCTAACGGGACAAATGTAAAGTGCTCAGTATAAGAGATGTAAACAGGGAAACCAGATACCAGATGAACAATGATGCCATAGAGAGAAATCTGACTGCTAGAGAGATTTAGGAGTAATGATAAGAGAACCTTAAGTCAAGTAAACAATGTGTTTTTGCTCGTAAATAACGCTAATAAAGCACGGTTCATACAAAGTAGTGTTTAGTTACAAGACTAGCGAGAAGTCATCTCTAAAATTGTATCTTTCAGGACAGAGACCACACCCGGATTACGCAGTTCAGTTCTGGGTCACCTTTATTACAGAATGGATATAGAATCCTTGGAAAGAATTCAGAGGAGGAATGACAGACTAATCCTAAGTATTAGGAACCTTATATAGAGAAGTTAAAGCTAATTTGCACTCCTCGAGAGACGAGAGCGAGGGGCGACCTGATAGAGGTGTATAAAATGGAAGTCAGGGCTAAACAAAGGGATATTACAAAGGTACTCAAACTATCCAACCAGGAGCGAACCTCGTAGCAATGGTTTTTAAATTAGACAAATTTAGATTTTGGTGCGAAATAGGTAAACACTCGGGTTTGGAAACAGAGTAGTGGATGAATGGAACAAGTTACCAAACATCAATATTAACTCGGGAATACGTTGAATAGCTTCAGTAACATAGGTTGGATGCTTATATGAGCAATAGGGGTTGGGAGGTAAACGGGACAATGCAGTATGGGCCAATAGGCCCACTGCAGTTTCCTCCATTCTTATGTTCTTATGTTCTTATCAACACCTGGGACCACTCATGAACACCTGGGACCACTCATCAACACCTGGGTCCACTCATCAACACCTAGGACCACTCATCAGCACCTGGGACCACTCATCAACACCTGGGACCACTCATCAACACCTGCACCACTCATCAACACCTGGGACCACTCACCAACACTTGGGACCACTCATCAAACACCTGGGACCACTCATCAACACCTGGACCACTCATCAGCACCTGGGACCACTCATCAACACCTGGGACCACTCATCAACACCTGGATCACTCATCAGCACCTGGGACCATTCATCAACACCTGGGACCACTCATCAACACCTGGGACCACTCATCAACACCTGGGACCACTCATCAACATCTGGGACCACTCATCAACAAACACCTGGGACCACTCATCAACACCTGACCACTCATCAGCACCTGGGACCACTCATCAGCACCTGGGACCACTCATCAACACCTGGGACCACTCATCAACACCTGGGACCACTCAAGATTCCATTAAGACCTGGAGCTTTTAAGACGGTCTGGGTCACTTTCTGTCCACGTCGGAATTCACAAAAAAGATTCCTAAGTCACGTGAGAGACTTAGCTCTGTGTGTGAGGGAGGATGAGGAGGATGGGACAGGTGAGGAGAAGAATGAGGAGGGGTGGAGGAGGGACGGACGGTGGGGGCAGGTGAAGAAGGGAGGAAAGGAGGTGGGTGTGGCAGGTGAAGAAGATGAAGGTGAGGAGGAATGTGATAGTGAGGTCGGCTGGTGAGAGAGAGAGAGAGAGAGAGAGAGAGAGAGAGAGTCAACCTAACACTCTAATACACCTATGATATAAAACAAAACCATCTCATTAAGGTGTTTAATTACCAGGTGAAATAAACTGGTGTGTAGGGGGGCGGGCGGGGAGTAATTATCACGTGATCCGGAAATCAACACGTAGTACTAATGACTCATAGGAGATGACACTCACCTAGTGTATCCCGTATGTGTGTGTGTGTGTGTGTAATAATAATAATAATAATAATAATAAACGGTTTATTAATAGAGTTGCAGTCGGTGGCTGAAAATATACAGACTTACATTTAATTTAGACATAATGATATAATATACATTTACAGGGCTGTGCAGTACATAAATCAGGAGTTGTTTATTATTTTAACAATAGATGGGATGGTGTTGTTCTTATATCTATCGGTGCGGGCTCTTATGGGCTGAATTTTGTTGTAGTGGCGGACTGCCTGAGGTGGGGGAGGTCAGGTGGCGATGACGAGGATGGTACAGTAGTCCACTGCCAAACTTTGCTTGGTGGTGGAGGTCACTGAGGGATGTGTGTGTGTGTGTGTGAAGTCATAGTAGTTACGGTACTTATTGTGTGTTATGTTATATTATTGTTGTTATTATTTTATAATGTTATTGTTATTATTGATTGTTATTATTATGGTTAAATGTGTCTCTGTAGCGGTGATGGGATTGTCTAACTGTGGTGATGTCTGTGTCCGAGTGTTAGTTCAGTGATGGGATTGTCTAACCGTGGTGATGTCTGTCCGAGTGTTAGTTCAGTGATGGGATTGTCTATATGTCTGTCCAGTGTTAGTTCAGTGATGGTGTCTAACTGTGCTGTCGAGTGTTAGTTCAGATGGATTGTCTAACTGTGGTGATGTCTGTCCAGTGTTAGTTCAGTGATGGGATTGTCTAACTGTGGTGATGTCTGTCCAGTGTTAGTTCAGTGATGGGATTGTCTAACTGTGGTGATGTCTGTCCGAGTGTTAGTTCAGTATGTTAATCTGTATAAGGGAATTTGTATGTTTTGGTCTGTGTATTGGAAGACTTATGGAATTAGATGATATATTCAAGAAAGGTGTAGTGTGGTGGTGTAGTGTATGTGTGGTGTGATGGTGTAGTGTATGTGTGGTGTGATGGGAGGATGTGGTGTTGTGGGTATGATGTGGTGTATTGCAGTGTGGTGTGGTGGGAGGATATGGTGTGGTGTGAGGGGCGAGGGTTGTTGAGTGCCTATCAGGTATGGTTGCCTCAAAACGACCTCGTAATAATGTCGTTTGGTAGTTAATGAGCGCACCTGGCAAGTCGTTAATGTAGTTGTATAGGCCTAAGACCCCCACACCTCACTGTGGGTTTGTTTATTTACTGTACATGACGTCATCAGAGCCTGGGGGGGGGGCTAACAGCTACGTATAGTTGTTAAGACAGTTTATGATTCATTATCTAGGAGCTGTTAATTATTCTCACCTGTTAACACCTGCTCCCTATACGCATCTCATCCTTCACTGTTCCATTTTCTTGTTTTATTCTGTGTGTATAAACATTTACTTGCTGTTTATATTAATGTTTTGCTTCTCTCTTTCCTGAGTTACGTGTAATTAATGTTGGATTCTTCTTCTTTACAGACGTCCAGAGGCGGTCCGCGACTCATCTCAATCAGCAGGACTGACCAGGGCTTCGGCTTCACCCTACGCCACTTCATTGTCTACCCACCGGAGTTGTCGGTAAGTACAAGTCCTGGTCAGTACCCGAACACAAGATGGCGGCTTTGTGTTGATATCTGCTCGGCCTCTCAAGAATACTCTATACTTAACATGACATGGAATTATACCGTGACTTTACGTATCTGGTATTTGTTCTACGTTTCTGGTATTAATTGCAGTTAAGGGTGATAGTTAACGTCTCACCTATACCAGTTAGTTGTCAGTTATTATTATATTTTACCATAGTCATTGACCTCCTGTTGACAGTTGGGACATGACCCTTGAGGTTTGTTTTGATGTAATGTACCAATACCCGCCACACACACACACACACACACACATAGCAACAACACAACACAACAGCAACACAACACAACACAACATAGCAGCAACACAACACAACTCAAGATAGCAACAACACAACACAACAGCAACACACAACAGAGGGATCAGTCGGTGTAGGCGGACTATACTGTACCTGCCGCTATAATATACAGCCCAGGTGACCTACCGGACAGGTGGCTCAGGAACTAGTTTTCATTCATTCTTTCGTCGGTGTTCAGTGTAAACAATGTGTGAATCACCACCACCTACACTGTCTTAGTCACCACCTCCCACTGTCTTAGTCACCACCTACACTGTCTTAGTCACCACCTACACTGTCTTAGTCACCACCACCACCTACACTGTCTTAGTCACCACCACCACCTACACTGTCTTAGTCACCACCACCATCACCACACTGTCTTAGTCACCACCACCTACACTGTCTTAGTCACCACCACCTACACTGTCTTAGTCACCACCACCTACACTGTCTTAGTCACCACCACCCACACTGTCTGTCACCACCACCCACACTGTCTTAGTCACCACCACCTACACTGTTCAGTACCACCACCTACACTGTCTAGTCACCACCACCACCACCTACACTGTCTTAGTCACCACCACCTACACTGTCTTAGTCACCACCACCTACACTGTCTTAGTCTCACCACCACCTACACTGTCTTAGTCACCACCACCACCACACTGTCTTAGTCACCACCACCACACTGTCTTAGTCACCACCACCACCACCTACACTGTCTTAGTCACCACCACTGTCTTAGTCACCACCACCCACACTGTTTAGTCACCACCACCCACACTGTCTTAGTCACCACCATCACCACCCACACTGTCTTAGTCACCACCACCTACACTGTCTTAGTCACCACCACCCACACTGTCTTAGCCCACCACCTACACTGTCTTAGTCACCACCACCTACACTGTCTTAGCACCACCACCTACACTGTCTTAGTCACCACCACCACCACCTACATCTTAGTCACCACCACCTACACTGTCTTAGTCACCACCACCCACACTGTCTTAGTCACCACCACCCACACTGCTTCAAGCCACCACCACCTACACTGTCTTAGTCACCACCACCACACTGTCTTAGTCACCACCACCTACACTGTCTTAGTCACCACCACCTACACTGTCTTAGTCACCACCACCTACACTGTCTAGTCACCACCACCTACACTGTCTTAGTCACCACCACCACCACCTACACTGTCTTAGCCACCACCACCTACACTGTCTTAGTCACCACCACCCACACTGTCTTAGTCACCACCACCTACACTGTCTTAGTCACCACCACCCACACTGTCTTAGTCACCACCCACCTACACTGTCTTAGTCACCACCACCTACACTGTCTTAGTCACCACCACCACCACCCACACTGTCTTAGTCACCACCACCTACACTGTCTTAGTCACCACCACCACCTACACTGTCACCACCACCACCCACCACCTTAGTCACCACCACCTACACTGTCTTAGTCACCACCACCACCACCTACACTGTAGTCACCACCACCCAAACTGTCTTAGTCACCACCACCTACACACTGTCTTAGTCACCACCACCCACACTGTCTTAGTCACCACCACCCACACACTGTCTTAGTCACACCACCCACACTGTCTTAGTCACCACCACCACCCACACTGTCTTAGTCACCACCACCTACACTGTCTTAGTCACCACCACCACCTACACTGTCTTAGCCACCACCTACACTGTCTTAGTCACCACCACACACTGTCTTAGTCACCACCACCACCACCCACACTGTCTTAGTCACCACCACCACCACCTACACTGTTCCAGTCACCACAAATAACACTGCTGGCATTGGTTAGGTTAGGTTTGGTTAGGTTAGGTTAGGTTTGGTTAGGTTAGGTTCATAAATCATACAGATAGAGGGTACAGGTGAATGTTGTAGTGGTGGTGGTGGTGGTGTTACTGGTGGAGGATAATGGTGTGGGTGGAGGGTGGAGACAGTGGTGTGGGTGGAGGTGGAGACAGTGGTGTGGGTGGAGGGTGAGACCGGTGTGGGTGGAGGGTGAGTCTGGTGGGGTGGAGGTGGAGAGTGGTGGGGTGGAGGGTGAGACCGGTGTGGAGGTGGAGACAGTGTGGGGTGGAGGGAGACAGTTGTGTGGTTGGAGGGTGGAGGTAGTGGGGGGAGGGGGAGACAGTGGTGTGGGGTGGGGTGTAGACAGTTGTGTGGGTGGAGGGGAGACCGGTGGGGTGGAGGGTGGACAGTGGTGTGGGTGGAGGGTGAAGACAGTGGTGTGGGTGGAGGGTGAGACCGGTGGGTGGAGGTGGAGACAGTGGTGTGGGTGGAGGGGAGACAGGTGGTTGGAGGTGGAGACAGTGGTGGGAGGGAGAGACCGGTGTGGGTGGAGGGTGAGACCGGTGTGGTGGAGGGTGGAGACATTGTGTGGGTGGAGGAGGAGACCTACTATTCCAGATGATACTAAATGTTACATAATACTTCCTTGAGATAAATGTATAGTATATATCAGGTGCCTCAAAGAGAGCCGGTTCTCAACTGGCTCAGCCATGTTAATATTGTTATTATTATCCACTCTGTATCTGTATTTTTCTGGCTAAATAAACTGTTACAATTCAATTCAATTCAAAACCGGTGTGGGTGGAGGGTGGGTGGTGTGGTAGTTAATGGAGGATAAATCTTGAGGCACGACCTGGCGGACGCTTACTGCGTGTGTGGTAAGTGATATGCCAGCCAGCCCCTCCCTCACCTATCACCCCCACCACCTCTCCTCCACTCACACCCCTCCCCACCCCTACTCTCTCACCCACCCCTACCCACTCACCCCTACCTACGCTGGCCTGACCCTGGGAGTGCCACTGTGGATCTTTTGGCACTCATCATCCATCCCTCTTACGGCACCTCCCCACCAACCTTTCCTATGCCGTCCTATCCTCACCCATCACCCACTCTTTCTTTCACCCACACCCTTCACCCCCTCCCCCCCCCTACTCTCCCACACTTGACATTTTATTCCTGCCCACACACCCAACAACAACAACAACATTACTCCCCAAAATAATTGATTATCATATATTTCCGTGTAAGCCAATTAGCGCGGCCCTGTTAATAAAAGTTGTACAGACGAGTGTTGGTGATTTACGGACCTGGCGGCAACTAATTACACCTGACAGCTGAAATTTTTTACTATTATTTTTTTTATTATATAGATACCAATTTGAACCGACTCATGATTTATAGGAATGGTTGACGACGGTGGGACTTCATAGTTGGTTGGGATTTGTTTGGGGATTATTATCTTCTGGACCTGACTGATGGAAGGTGTTACTGTGTGAGGGAGTGTTGGTGTTTTATTTTTCCCCAGGCACCGATTTCAAGGTAACTATTGTTTTAGTGTTGTTCATATTTATTAATTTATTTATTTATTATTTTTTTGCGAGTCGTTTTTATCGTGAGTAAAAATAATGTACTAATTATTATTGTATGTCAGGTAAGTAGCGAGGTGATTAACTTGTCAGGTGTTGTCAGGTGGAGATAATTGAGGTAGTTTATGTTGTGTACTTACCTGGTGAGTGAGGTACCTGTGTTGCGTACCTGGTGAGTGGAGACCTGTTGCATGTACCTGGTAAGCCAAGGAGACCTGCATGACACCATTACATCCTCCAGGTAACCTCCTAGTACTGTATATAGTACATGTATTCTAGTGCATCACACACACACACACACACACACACACACACACACACACACACACACACACACAGCTTCTACAAGGAGTCGCGTCATTTTTGAACACCTGATATGATCCTTAAGAAGCATCGTGTTGTCTGCTGGTTTGTCGTATGCGTCGTCCGTCTCGGTGTGAGCGGTCTGAGAGAGAGAGAGAGAGGGGGGACACGGCTAATATAGTTCCCTACTTGACCCGCATCACCTGGTAAAAATTGTGGTGGTAGTGGGGGGGGGTGGAGGAGGCAGGTGATGGTGAGGTGGTGGTTGGAGTGGTATTATATGGGTCTTGCTGCCCCTTCAGTAGAGCTTAGTAAGAGCTGACCTCACTAGGGAAAGGTCACGGCAGGGTTAGGAAGAGGTTAGGTTAGGTTAGGTGCTATGTGTGGTCTGGGGTGCAAGCTTGTTGGCCAAGCTGGAGTGGACCATGGAAGAATTGGAGAGGGCCACGTTGGAGAACCTGGAAATTAAAAGAAGAGATGGCGAGGATGAGGAGGCGTGGGACAGGGAAAGCCAGTGTCATGAAAACTCAAGCGAGTGGAAGGTTGTGAGGAGAGGGAACACCAAGCTGGTGATGAAAAAACACACCAAGGACACGCTCAAACAACGACATCAGCAGCTAAGTGTACCAACTCGTTCAGTCCCTTATAGACGAATTGACGTTAGTACAGTCAGGACAGCTGACAAGGAAGGTATAAAACTTTTAATTGTTGGTGACCACAGGTAAGGCATTTCTGGACAGAGCTTTTTGTGGTAAAAAACAAAATAGGATGAGGTGTGCTTGCCAGGAGCTGCTGGGGATAATTGACAGGATGGACATTGACAATACTCCTATCTGGTAATGGGAACAAAACTCCACATTCTGCTCCTGGTGCAGGAGGCACGATATTGGCTTGTAGGAGCTATGAGCTCTTGACTGTCTGAAGGC